GCACCAGGCATGGAGGGGAGGGGTTTCTCTGTCTCTTTGGCACCCTGCATGGGGGTGGGGGCCACCCTCGGCTGTTGGGGATCAGCAAGGGCAGGGCTGTGCCAGGAGGCAGGCCAAGCCAGGAGCTGTTCAGGGAGGACAGCACAGCACAGCACAGGCAGGGGAAGGCCCTTGCAGCTGGTGTGTAAGGAAAGGCCCTAAATGCTGTACAGCTTCCTCAGAAGAACAAACCCTGCCGAGGAATAAGAGCTTTTACCTCAGGGTCAATGTGACCTGACGATCCATGATAAACTGGGTCTCAGTGGCTGAGAACACCCCATGCAGACTGATAAAACAATAGGAGAATTGTCTTTCAAAAAGCACCCCAGGCATGTAACGACAGTCCTAACAGCAATGGACCTGACTGTAGTATAAACCCCCTTCACCTGCATGGGACATTGGTTTAGAACAGCGAAGGTTAACACCCCGCTGACCATACGTCCACACCAGCTGCACCGGAGAAGCACATACCGATATCCTGAGCAATAATGCCTGATTAGCCCACCCTTAACATGAGGAAGTTCACTGGTCAACACAACTGTATTGTTAACATACATACCCTGCTCTCCTCTATATCAGGGTCCTTTGCGCATTAGGCTGCGGCACCACTATGGGCACAGCTAAAAGAGGGGAATTGATGCCCTTGGTAGTTCTATGCTAAGCGTTCTTGTTTCCCTCCTTGATTCTCCAAGAACTGACTTTTACACCAGGTAAAGTCCCGCAGCCCCCTGGGAGCTGGATTTCTGGGCAGGGTTACAGCCATCATGAGCTCGCTGGAGAACAGCTCCCCTCCGCCCAAGGCTGCTCCCTCTCCCCGGGCTTTCCTTCAGCTCCCCCAGAGCCAGCTCAGGCTGCCAAAGAGAAAGTCCCCATCCAGGTAGATGCAGGAACACAGCGCGGGGATCTGCAGTGCAGCTCCCTGCTGCCCTAGTACCTAATGGGCCAGAAACGAGACAGTCGCTTGGGTGTTGACTGCGAGGTTGCTCTGCAGGTGATGGTCCATCCACGGGAATACTGCTTGTGCCAGCTGCTTGTCTTCATTCCGCAGTGGATACCACTGCGTGCTATGTCTTGTTATATTTGAACACCTCTTGGTCCAAAGGAAGTGGACAGCCCATCAGAGGGAGATCTGAGAACATGAGGGCATGACAATGTCAAAAATGGCCGCCAGGCATTCACAATGCAATATGAGAACCCATGGGGAATGACGTTGTCAGAAGTTGCATCTTCCTCGTGGCAGCTTCCTTGCCTGATGTGCTTCTGGGTACACGGCTAGGATTCCTTGTTCCTGACAGTCAATCACAGGTCTGCCTGAGAGCAGGTGGGCCTGGTGGGGCCAAGAACTGGCTGTCAGCCAGTCACAGAGCATTGTGATCACATCTTGGTTGTGGTGTTTAATAGGAAAATGACAACTGAAAGAAAATGACACCCTCTGTGTATGCATGCGAAGGCACATCTTGGTCAGATGTACTTCGTCGTTCATCAGGGCTCCACGGGGATTCACCAAAGCAATCGTCCACCCCCAAAAACTTGTAGCAGCACAAGGCAGATTTTAGCCCAGGAACAGCTTATGGGTAGAGTCCTGCAAAACAAACTTGCTTATGCTCATGCAGCATGAAACGTGACAGATGCTCATATCTGACCAAGTCCTGTAGATCAAGAAACTTGTGCTAGAAATGATCCACCTGGCCTATTTCCACATTATACAACAGGAATAATAATTTTTGCCCCAGTATTGCCTGCATTTTACTTGCTGATTTCTGAGCTGATACAAGACAACTGTACCAGATATGGACGTATCCAGTGCTTAAGAAGAAACCAGGCAGGGTGCTGTGCCTTTTTAATTCAAACAAAGGCACAGCATGCAGCCACGTTAGCCCAGGAGAGAGTGAACATGCCTCCCTCTGAGCCGGGTGGAGACCTGTGCCATGCCATACGGTATTCCCAATGGGCACTGTATTGGCTACGTATGGCAAGGCTTTGGTAGTGGAGGGGTTAGGGGGTGTTGCAGGGTGGGCTCTGTCAGACAAGGTAAGGAGCTGCCCCGTGTGGTACACAGCCAGTTCCAGCTCCACAGCGGACCCACCCCATGACACAGCTGAGCCATGCGCAAAGGTTGTAGCCCCTCTGTGAAAACATATTCCACAGAGGGCAGAAACACTAGGCAGTGAGAGGGGGAAGGAAGAAAATAGCAGAAAAGAGCAGAGGGATGATGCATCTCTCACTTGGGCTGGTAAAGGAGTCTGGAGTGAAGGAGTAAAGTTGAGCCTGGGAGAGGGGAGAGGAAAAGCGCTTGTTGAACCTTAGCCTTTTTGTTTTCTCACTACATGAGTCTGTTTTAAATAGCACAAAGTTATTTTTTCCCATGTCAAGGCTGGTTTACCCACAAGAGTTCTGCTACGCCATGTCCTTGTATTTATCTTGACCCATGAGCTTTCTGATCCAGTTTTCAGTGCCCTGCACCCCACTGAAGGAGGGGAAAGGAGTGAGCAGCTGGGTGGGTTCTTGACTGTGCAACCACACGTTGGCATGTGCAGAGTTGTAATTTGGTGGCAGTTCTGTTGGCAGGTCCCGGGAAGGAGTGCCTGTCAGCAGCCCTTGGTGGGAGCTGGGAAGGGTAGCCCCGCAGTCACCTCCCGGCAGCAGTGCCAGGCTGATGCTGGATGAGGTGGCGGGCTATGGCAGCAGCAAGGGATGGACGGTGGGAGCAGCAGCAGCAGCTGCAGGGTCGGGACGGGATGGCTGGTTGCTCTAAGGCTCCTGAGCACTGGCCCCCAGCTACCGTCTGCTCCATTCAACTTGACGGCTGCTCCTGACTGAGGGCATTCAGCAGTGTCCCACTCAATCACAGAACACCTGGGGTGGAGAACATGCAGACCAAGCCCAGCTCAAAGCAGGCACAAGTAGAAGAGGCTCTTCCGGGCCTTTGCTGGTCGGATGATGGACATCTGCAAATGTGGAGACTCTACAATAATCCCTGGGCAACTGTTTCCCATGTTTGACCAGCCTTACGACAGAGTCCCTGGCACCTGTCTAACCTAGGGAACCTCCACGGAACTTGCTCCGCTTTATCATCACTTTTACATAGTTCCTTACATAGTTCTTCTTCCCCTTTTTCTGGAAAAGAGGGCAACTTTTCCTTCTCATTATCATCAGGGAGCTACCCTGCCCTCTGATCCCAAAGCTGAAGAGCCCCTGAGATGCATCCTTCTTTCTTTCGGACGCGGTGTCACAGACGGTAGGTGCCAATCCAGGACGTGGCATTGACCAACAGGGTTTCAAGCCAGAGAGTTTCCCTGAATTAGCAGTTCCTCACCTGCAAATACAACCAGCATCAGTGGGAAGAGGGGCAGGCGGGAGTAAAGGCCCACCAGTATGACCCAAAAGGGACATAGCAGGCTCTGGGGACTCGTGTTCAGGCTGAGGGGCGTGCTCCAAGGCCTAGCATGCATTTCCATTTCGTCTCCCCCGACACTGGGGCATTTCTCTCCAACACTGCTGACAGGACAGAGAAACTCCATGCTGGTGCACGTTGTGATTGAGGGAGATGCTGAAGGAGATGGGTTTGTTTAGGCTGGAGAGCAGAAGGTGAGGGGTCTTCCACTGTGTGAAGGTGGCTCTCTGGCTTGCCAAGGCCTGCCCTCTGCCAGAAAGACCTCGGGAGTGCAGGAGCTGGGGGTGGCCTGGCCTCCTGTGTGAGCCAGCCTGGCCTGAGCTGCACCTCCCAAGGGCTGGGGAGCTCTGGGAGATCTCTGCCTGCCCACTGAAGCCTCTAAGGGTGGCACAGATTGTCCTCCCCGCAGGGTCCCATAGGGAGGAGTAGCATCAGAGGCTACAGAGCTGGTAGCAGGTATCATGGCCTTGGGGAAGCAAATGAGCTTGGGAGCACGTTAGTCCCAGCAGGCAACGCTGCCAGGAAGGAAACCAAGGACAAAATACCCTGAGCAAGGAAGCTGCCTGCACAAGCCCATACAGCTGTTCATACAGAGCCCCTCTGGGATCCCCGAGTGCTGGGTGACACCAGTGAGCCTGGGAAGAAGCCCAGGAACATCCTCTGTTGCTTGGAGATCCACTGTCTGACCCCAGAAGAGATATGTCCCTTCCGATGGCAGTACCTGCACATGGATGGGAAAAAGCTGTCCCTTTCCCTGTGCCGCCGCCCCTCGGAGGGGGTTTTCCTCCACCTTTTTACAAGGCCTTCAGAGACTGGGCCCTGCTCTCGCTGCTCCCACCCACCTGGGCCCTGCAGATCCCAGGGATATGTGAGGAAAGCCCTCAGCAATGCTGCTTCTCCGGGACAAGCTTTCAGAGTTGTGCCTCTGAAGAGATTTAACCCTTCTCCAGTGTCTAGGTGTCTTGGTTTGGGATGAAATAGAGTTAATATTCCTTTTCAAGGAGTAGATGAGTGCTTTGTTTTGGATTTAGCTTTGGGTTTTGGTATGAGAAAAATGCTGATAGCACACTGATGTTTTCAGCTGCTACTGAAAATTCAAGGACTTCCAGACTCCCCATGTCCTGCCCGTGCGCAAGGGCACAGAAAGCAGGGAGGGAGCACGTCCACAGCACCTGACCCTAATTGGCCAAAGAAATATTCCATATCATGGAACATCATGCTCACTATATAAAGGAGGGGTGGTTGGGAAGGAGCTCTCTCGTTTCCGGGATTGCGATTGTGGGATCCTGGTATCTCGGGGTCGCTAGCCAAGAACCGGCTGGATATTGGTTAGTGGGTGGTAAGCAATTACGCTCTACATTGTCTGTATATATATTTCTTTTTGTTTTCCTCCTATCGTTCTCATTGTTCTCATTTTAATGCCATTATTAAACTGTTCTTGTCTCAACCTGCGAGTCTACCTTCACCTCTCTAATCCCCTCCCCCATTCCCAGGTGGGGATGTTGAAAAGAGGGTGACCAGCTGCTGTGGTTGGTTGCCGACCAGACCCAAACCACGACACTAGGTGTTTCTCCTGCCTCCTCTGAATGTGACCTGGCATTTAATATCTTAGGCTTGGGTATGACTGCGCGCTCTGTCGTGTGGGTTCAGAAGTACCAGATGCAAGCCCAATGCTTTAGGAAGTGCAAAGGTATCAGGAGGTCGTGTCCTCAGTGTCCCGGGCTAAGTCTGAGATCCAATAGAGTGTCCCCACATGGGTTTCCTCCTGTGTGACTGCTGGGAGGAAGGGCCCTGCTCTCAACACACAGGCTCAAACCTTGGCAGAAGGAGGAACGCACCACTGCAGCTTTTCCTGGCTGTGTGCATGGACCCTTTCTGGGCAGGCAGTGTGCTGGTGCCAGGACATGAGGGAAAGTTCCCTCAGGCTGGACATTGAAACCTTGCCGAGTCTGGAGCAGCCTCAGGAGAGAAAATGGGGTTTCCAGGGAGGGAGAGGCCACTTTGGGGCACAAGGGGACAGCGAGTCCTGGAAGAGAGGACCAGAGTTTGGAGTCAGCCAAGACTGCCCCAGCAGAGGAAGGAAGTCCAGCTTGTGCAAAACATAACAAGCTCCTTTGGGTACTCCTGCCAGATCTTCCCTCTACTGAAGCTCATCCCCTGCCCCCTCTCTTGGTCACCTTGTTCAGCAAGGTCAGGAGCTCAGGTAGGACTGGAACCAGGAGTAAGGATATCTGGTTAATGGCTGCTTAGTATGAGCTACAAGGTGAGAAACAGGAGAGGCAATAACTTACACGGGCAGATGGACACACTGTCCAACATGAGGGCAAAGGGAGGCAGCAGCAGAGACCACAAGTGCAAGGACTGAACCTTCAGCTGCTGGGCCATGAATGCACCGTCTCAGGTGCACCATGGAAGAGGTTCTACTGGAAACTACCTAACCTGGTCCAAGTAGGCAAAAGCAAGATTCTCAGCACTTACCAGCCTGGCTCTTGTAAGAGAGGGCACGCGAGGCTTGTGCAAAGAGCTCTGCCAGTCCCTTGAAAGGCCCGGTGAGTAGAGAGCAGCCAGTGGCCCTGGAGGAAGACTGTACTTGGTGATGTCCACGGAGATGGAGAGACAGCCAGGCTCAGCCAGGAGTAGAAGGCTCCACGAGGGTGGCCTCAGGGGAAAGACAGTGCTTGTGAAGGAGGTCCCATGGTGTAATGGTAAGCACTCTGGGCTCTGAATCCAGCGGTATGAGTTCAAATCTCAGTGGGACCTCAGCCTTTTGGCTCTCCCAGGACATTCCTCGGCATGGTTACACATAACAGCCTTTCTGTCAGCTCTAATCAGGTTGACCTTACTCTGATCTTCCTTCCTTTCCTGTGCTCCCAGCCATGGGACTGACACCAGTGCCCACTCTCGTGCCTGTGCCCACCAAACCTCTGCAGCTTTCCTGAGCAGTGGCCCCCAGCTCCTGTCTGCTCCATTCAGCTTGACCGCCGCTCCTGCCTGAGGGCATCCAGCATTGGCCCACCCAATCACACAACACATGGGGTGGAGAACATGCAGACCAAGCCCAGCTCAAAGCAGGCACAAGTAGAGGAGGCTCTTCCAGGACTTCTCTGGTCATATATTGGACATCTCGAAAGATGAACACTCTACAGTACTCCCTTGGTAACTGTTTCCCATGTTTGACCAGCCTCATGGTAAGACAGGGCTCCTGTGTGAGGCACTACTTGTACTTCAAATCCTGTCCATTACTTCTTGATCTCTCCATTCCACTGACCTTTTGCTGGCTCTCTTTTTCCTTCTTCGATTTTTTCAGTGCTCTCGTACAAGATCAAGGAGCTCCACCCACAACTGGTGGTGCCCCAAGATTGGCGACAGACTCAACGTCACAGCACAGACCATGTTCTCCCTTTCACTTGCAGAGGACTTGGCGAAACTGGGAAGGAGCAGAAAAAAAAACAAGACATAAGCCTCCACCTATGTTGCACAAAGTCTTTAATGAGAAGGAGGAAATGCAGTGGCACAGAACAGAGACCAAGAAACACATCTGCAGGATTGAGGGACGCACAGAGTATGGCCCGTTTCCCAAGGACAAGCTGCACACAAAGCGCTTGCCTTTTCCCATTCTGCTCTCCCTGGTGGCAATGGCAGCCCACCAAGAGCAGTCCCTAACTCCAGCACCGTCTCCCCTTCAGCAGGGGCTTCAGCAAAGCAGAAGAGAACGAGCCCTTTCTGGAGGGCTCAGAGAAAAACAGAGCCAGAGGAGACACGGCCACGCCAGCCATGCAACGAGGAGAAGTGGACAAAGGTCACTCCTGCCAGGTGCCATGAGGACACCCAGCCTGCCTTCAAGACATGTCCATGACCTGCTGCTGCAGGGTCCCGTCTTCCGTCCTGCTCCTGAAGGGATGAGCCGCCAGCTTCAGCAGTTCAGACTGCAGCGGGGGACAGGCAGACACATCCCGGACCCGCCCAGACCAAGGGAGCCCCCAGAAGAGATGGGAACTCCCACTGGCACTGAGGGAGCTCCCAACAGCAGCTGACAGAGACGATCCCACAGCCGTGCTCTGAGGGAAAGAGTTGAGGATGGGGCCCGGCAGGGTCACCACCACCGGCGAGGGCTCGATGAACACCGTCGAGTCAGCGCAGCGGGCGACACAGGGCTCACTGCAGCTGCTTGCAAGTGGGGTTGGGCCAGAGGCACAGCAGGGCCGTGGGGGACAGGGTCTGAAGCAAGACATCTCTCGGTGAAGGAAGCAAAGCTGCAACACAGAGCAGGAAGGAAACACAGACCCAAACATCAACTTGGCTCTCATGTCCACAGCTCTCTCTGCAGATACACTTGGCTGCTCTCCATCTCCATTTCTAGCTGCAGGTGCAGGAAATGCCTGCACCTGATCTCTCTAACACACACAACGTGCATGACGTATTCCCCTAAGTTGGATTTGAAACACTGGGAGCAAAGATGTGCCTAACTGGCTGCTGATTGCACCAGGACCTCCTACTGCATTTCCCAGTACAATAGCACAGACGAAGATTGATGCAAGTATCCCAGCACAAATGGGCTGCGTTGAATGGGTGTCTCAGAAATCACCTCTTAAACACACATAGTCTTCTTACAGCTCGTAATGCACTCCTCTGGGTAGCACAGTGCAGGAACGTTGACCCACTTTGGGATAGGACCAAGCCCAGTGGGTTTAAAGCACCTGATCATACCCCATCTCCAGAACAACTGTTGTTGCATTGATGAAGCACTTGGCCAATTGGTTAGAGAACATCTGCCGCGGGTGCAAATTCTGGTGAGGCAGACACCCCTACAGCTGAGCCCCATTGATACCCTTCTGCTTGAAAGAACACCCTCTTCCCATTTCTCCACAGCCAGCTCTACAAAAAATGGACAGAGGTGACAGCCCTTCAACTGTTCAATTGCGGGACCATGCTGAGGCAGAGAAATATCAACCTGAGATGCCACCATGGCAGCAATTCTGCCTACAGAGAGAGACATGGAGTAGACCCAGACTTACCTCGTTCGTCGAGGAAAGTGAAGCAAGAGAGGAGGATGCAGAGCCTGGAGCAGCGCAGGCTTTTATGCTGTGTCCCAGAGCCCTGTGGGGCCACAAACATTCCTTGCTCATGAAGCATCTGAACACCTAGGAGTTTCCGCTTCCCAAGGCTTCCCTGGTGATTAAGCCCTCGCTTCTTACATCCCACATATTGTCCTCTTTTTCATACCATCGAACATCAAAATCATTCATCTGTATCCCAGGTTTATAAAGTCAATTAACTCTGAGTTCTTACGCAGGACAGACAGATATTTTTAGTTGACTTGCCTCATACAAATTCCTTTGGTCTCATTGCCCTCTTCGTGGTTAACTAGTCCACGTGTCATGGTGAAATGGGCACCTCAATTCTTCTCTCAAATGCTTTCTTTGCAGGCACTCAGTCTAAAACCTGTAGGACATTTCCCTTCCTGAGTGATCGTAGACACACAGGAGGCAGTGGGTAACTTCAGGCAGATGTTCAAGACTGCACAATCCTATATGGGAGGAGAGACGCACCACTCCAGGGATGTGGCAAAGCTCAATGTCAAGGAAAGACCACTGTGAGGTGGAGGGAAGCCCCCTGTGGGCAGGGGTGATGATGGCCACAGGGACCTTGTTTACGCTCATCAGGCTTTACCACAGACTGGTTTTGTGATCAAAGGCTTGCCCGCGTCCTTCCCTGAAGGAGACCCACACCCAAATTGACCCGTTTGGCTCTGTAAGGTCATCCCAGAGGACGGAGGTGTGGCTTGCCTGATTAGGAGGAGAGGTGAACAGCTGGGAATGAAAACCTCATGGCCCTTTTTCCTGATTCAGAGAGGGGGTGGCCAATTCCATGCATTTCACGCTACAAAGGCACATCGGATCAGTCTCAGAGCACCTGGGAGTCATCATGATGTGGAAGAGTTGGGAAAATCCCAGAGCTGCTGTCAAGCAGGACTCACCCTGCTGTGGACTTCAGTGGACACGGTCACCCAGCCTCAGTTGTGCCAGGGATACCAGAACTCATAGTCCCAATTTGCGGTTTTCTGTAAGGAAAAGCACATTTTAGCACCATTCCTGAATCAACTGGTGCTTCTGTGCAACCTCGTGCAGCTTCTGCCTTCTAAGGCATTGCCTGCCAGTGGCTGCTCAGGGACCCACGAGAGTGAGTGCAGCCCAGAATGATGTGGGATGGATGGTTCTTCTGGAATGGCTCTGGGACAACCTCTTGCTCTGAGCAGACCAAGCTTAATGTTAAGTTAATCAAGGGATATGGCGATGGAGATCCCATGGAGACATTACCTGAAAGAGACCTGCCTGATCCTCTGGTCTGCTCCCTGTCGTTTAAAAACGTGCCTTCATTCCCTGGATACGTGGTCATAAAAAACAGGCTGTGGCAGAGCCTGTTGAGCGTGAGCAAGGTCCTCGTGGCCCTCACTCCTGCCCACAATGATCCTTCCTTGTCATTGAGTTTTACTGCATCTCTGCAGATGTGAGTCTCTTCGCCCACCATCTCCTGCCAGTCTATATAGACCCACTGGGAGATAGACGTCTCCCTCAGTTAGCCCAAGGCTCTCCACTGAAAGCACTTCGGAGCTGATTTGATGTGACTTTGAAGCGTGATTGCTGGCTGTGCCAGGGAGCATCAGGCTGGGCTGTGTGAGCGAGCAACTGTGTGGGTGATCTAACACGCTGAGCCATCTGTGAAGTTTCTGGCGTGGACAGCACCTGTGTTGCAGCTACCGCAGGTGTAGGAGGAAACATATCTTGGTGAAGGTGTCAAAGCTGAAACACAGATCAGAGAGTGAACGCTTGTCCTTTTGCTAAGCAACCATTTGCTGAAGGTATAAATACCGGTGGACAGACCTCCCCACAGCTGAGCCCCTTTGATCACCTTGCTCTTGAAAAAGGGCTTTAGTGCATATTTTGGCTAGCACTGGGAGACATCTCTCTCTATGCGAGTCATCATGGGCTCACAGGAGATGGTGGCATCTGTTGAGCAAAACGCATGGCCAGGAAAGTTACCATTGTGGTCTGGAGGGAAGCTGCTTGCGGGAAGGAATGAGGGCCACAAGGACCCTTCCAACATTTGTCAGGCTCTGAAAAAGCCTATGTTTTCTGCCCACAAGGCCAGGGACCATAGCAGATCCATAATGAGAAAGAGTAGGCCACAGATTGAGGCCAGTCGCTCTCAAGCGATATCTCCTTGGGATCTCAGTAGCACTGTCCCTAGGATGACATGACAAGGCCTTCACAATTCTTCCAACCAGTCCTCAGGGGTCATCTTGGGATGTGGAGAACCTGTGGGACACAGGCAAATTGAGGCATAGGAGTGTGGTCAAAGAGATGCGTGCATCCTTCCGTGAAATAAACCCACAGGCAAAATGACCTGTTTAGCTCATCACTGTCAGCCTAGAAGCCAGAGGCCTGGATGGCCTGCTTTTCAGGAGAGGCTCAGGGCAGGGAGCCAAAAGCTCATGGCCCTTTTTCCTGGGTCAGGGATGGGGCGGCACGTTCCATGCATTTCAATCTCCAAACGGGCGTCGCACATCAGTCTCCCACAGCACCTGGGAGTCATCGTGATGTGGAGGAGTTGGGAAAAACCCAGAGCTGCAGGCAAACATGAGTCACCCTGCTCTGGACTTCAGTGGACATGGTGGCCCAGCCTCAGATGTGCCAGGGATACCAGAGCTCATAGTCCTAAAGCGCCACTTTCCTCAAGGAAATTTCCACATATTTTAGCACTGTTGATGAAACGGCTGGTGCTTCTGTGCAATCTTGTGCTGCTGCTGCCTTCCAAGGCATTGCCTTTTGGTGGCTGCTCAAGGGCCCATGAGACTCAGTGCCCCCCAGAGTAATGACGGTTGGAAAGAACCACTGGAAGCCCTTTGCTCTGGTCCGCTGCTCCAAGCGAACCAAACTTCTCAGCTACCTCAGCAGGCTCCGTGCCTTGTCCCACTGACTTAAGAATACTGTCACTGGTGGAGAGGTCACTATGTCTTGGGCAGCTCTTCCAGGGACACACTGCACCCCCTGTCACTTCGTTTCATAGAAGGGCAGCTGGCATTAGCCCCGTTGCAACTTGTGAGTAATGTGGGTCTTGCTGGTCAGTCAAGTTGTGTTGTACCTGAACATTTGAAAGGTGTAAGTACTCCCTGCAAAACTAAATTCCGGGTGCCCCTACTTTTGCCGGGACACCTCGTGCACATGCCTGCATATGTACTCTTGTAATTCTATACTTTGAGTCCCAGGCTCTCTCCTCAGTCAGCACAGGCCACTTGCGAATTCTTGTGACACAGGACTCTACTATTTCTTAGCTAAAATCTGCCTTGTGCAGCCACTGGGTTGGGTGGTGGGTGATTGCTTTGGTCAATCCCCATGCCCACTGGCCCAGACTGGGTCGTATCCCATATTTCCCACAGCAAATCCCTCA